GCCAGGAGCTACTGCCCTTGTTACTGGTAGCTTTTGGTTTCTAGCATTAATGCCAGGAACTATTGGTAGTTTCGTTCGGGAGGGTGGTGCTAGATGGTGCCTCAGTAAAACGGACTACAAGAGTCTTCCTGGTGGGTACTTTCAGAGTGCATGTTAAATTAGATGGTCCTGTCAGCATTGCATAGGTTCTTTCATGTAATGTCTTTTGACATGTCATAGAAGTTGCTCCACCCATGCCAGATCAGGGTGTTTCCTTCAACGCGCCAGATGCTTCCAGATATCTTGATGGCCTTGGGGCAATCGAGCCGGGACCCTTAGGGGGCCAACGTGCGCAAACAACCTAGGCATGCTGGGTGTAAGAAGAAACCCACCAATGATCACGTTGAACGTGTGTGTTTTAAGAACCGTGCGCAGGTCAAACGCACTCCTCTTGGCAATTGCAGCATTCTCTTGGATTAGCTAGTGTTTGTTGATTTGCATATCTTGAGCTCCTCAAAACCCGCGTATTTTTGTTCCACCTGCCATGTGTCACCACCTCGATATTGCACTTCAACTGCACAGAACAGGCGAATTTGGGATGTTCATCTTTGGCAGCATTGGTTTGGTTTTGACATGCTTTGACATGTTTTGACATGGGCCCCCCATCCACCTGATGGAGTCGGCTCCGAACGCGAAAGTCGCTCTTGAACAAGATCTTCAAGACGCGCCCTCCGTGCCATCTCCAAAAGAAGTATCGACATGGACGCAATCACTGAAACATTCCCAGTTCGACCTCTCCCGAGCCACGCCCAAAAAACCAAGACCCTCCCCGCGGTGCGGTGCGGGTGCGGGTGGGGGGGAACCCCCTTTGACATGCCAACATGCGCGCTGAGATCCTGGGCTAGTGCAAGTGATCCGAGAAAATCCAGAAGCTTTCATGAGACTGCTCTCTGTGCGGGGTCCGAGTGATTCAGCGGCCATCAGGACGGGACGACGGTTAAGACGTTAGGACGGTTAGGACGACGAGGACGCCGTAGGGCCAGTGATCTGGAGATCCATGTGGATCCATGTGTTCTCCACCCTCCTTGGCCCTTGGATTGATCATCATCCACTCTTGCAGCAACTCTAGCAGACTCTGGCAAGAAATGTGGGTGAGTTATACTTTCTTTTGGCATTTTCTGCCCATTTCTCCGGACATTCTCTTTGTATCCTGGAAGATTTCTTTAAGACTCTTCAATTTTTTCTAAATGTGAATCCACCATGCTTTCGTTGAGCTTCCCGTAAACCATTGCACCCCAGATCACACCCTGTCTATCAGATCGCAGACGTTTCCACACCGAACTCGGGTGCCGCCCGTCCCGTCCCGGTCTCCGCAGGGCGCCGTTCCCGGCGGCGGTGGCGCGCCGCAAGATCCCGTGGCAGCTATGCTCGCTGCCGCCCAGGGGGGCGGTGGGGGCGGTGGGGGCGGTGGCGGCCCTCCTCCTGGGCAGCAGGTGGGGCGAAAGATGGCTCGGTCTTCGGGGGTCGAAAGTAGATGCCTCAGACAGAAGGGGCCAATTGGATGTAATATAGTTGGGTCTGTCCTACTACCTGTAAGAGTCGGTTTCACAATGATCACTGCTCTAGAGAAAGGCCTTTCCTCAAAAGATCCACTGTTGAAATGGGATCTACACAAGTATTTGATATGAACATATATAAACCCTACCAGGACCATCCTCTCCCGGGTGTGGACTGCCCAGCCCACTACCCACTCCGACAGGTGGTGCGGTTGACTCCAGAAGAGGGCGAAGCTGTTCAGAGGCGAAGCTGTGCGCAGCGGCGGTTGGGCGCCTGGGTGTAGTGAACCTGCGGAGGGCTATCCCGTTGGTTCAGCGCGAGAACAGAGTGGCTTAAGACACCCTGAGAGGTTGTTTTCTTTGGAGTCTCAAAGGCTTAATGTGGGTAGCTGGTAGCTTCTTCTTCTCTGCTTTAGGTGTGGAAGAGCCACTATTTCTGGTCAAGTTTCTTTTGGACACCTCGTTGGACTCTCGGACATGTCTTGCAGAACTTGGTCATCAGAAATGGCTAAAACCAACTCACTCAGTCCTCAGCTGGAACTTGAGAGGCTGGTGTTGAAGGGTGAACCTCCCAAGTCTATTTGATGTCAGAAGCTCCCCAGACCCACTCCGAATCTGCTGTTGAGGGGTACGATATGCCGTTCAACTGTTCATGGCATCAGGACCACAGATCAAGAATTGACGCAGTCACGACAACCACCCGCAATCCCCCCCCGCCCGGAGAGGATGGTCGATCTAGGAACTGGGTGTCGCAGATTGGCAGGTTCATGTACGTCGAACGTGACATGCGCTGAAACAGAAGGGGTACTTGCCGTTGTCTGTCACAGAAGGGGGATCATTCCGGCGAACCATGGATGTTTCATCCTGCTATTGGGCTCTTGCTTTGAGACAAAACCATCATGGTTTACATCTCTCCACCGTTGCCCAACCGAGCATCCAGAACCGCCGCCTTGGCGGCCTTCAGCCAAATAGCCAGGTTAAACCGTGAGGTTTCTCACCAGGTTTTGAGCGGTTTCACCAGTCTATCCTCTCGGCTTCCGGGATTCAGAATGGCATTTCTTGTACCAAACCCATTCTGAATTTGTTTTTGGGCTTTGAGAAGTGTATCGTTGGGACAGCCAAACTCTTACCAAGAGTGTCTCTTTCACTCTCCGGCTCGTGTTCCGATGCCGCCAGGGTCTCGTTCCGAGCCTGTCGCCAGGCTCATTGAGCTGGGCTTCGATAGATCGATGGCCGTTCAAGCGTATCTGGCCGGGACGCCCTGGATCGACTCTGTCCCGCGCAGCCCTGCAGATTGGACCCTGAACACCACCCAGGTGGTATAGCTTCTTACATCTTCTTACCCCATGGTCTGAGAATCCTCTTGCAAGAAACCTCGTGTTGGTCCCATGGCGAAAGCGTTTCTTTTTTCCCACGGCGGGTCACCGACTCCGAGCATGCATCTCCAACCCTCCCAACCGGTCGGAGGTCCGATGGTGTCGACGGTTCCCGAACGAGTTCTCTGGGAATTTGGTAAATAGAAAAAGACATGAATCTATCTACTTATTGTTTCTACTAGCTTCTTGTTATTACTAGTAAGGCACTTGTTACTAGTAGCGATGCACTTGTTATTGTTCCTAGTAGCGAACATTGTTGCTATTTATATCTTTTACATCATGACATGGTCTCCCTCCTTTTTGTGCTCCATGTTGGTGTATTTGATCTTGTAACACATGTACAGTCCCGAGCAACCCAACCAGGTACGATGCAGTTCTCTGGGACCCCCGAAAAGACCCGTCGGAATGAACCTTGCTCCTATAGTAGTATGGCCAGGAGCCCCTAGTAGCGTCCTTGCTCCGTTCGTAGCGATGCCAGGAGTAGCTTCTTCTTCCTAGTAGCTTTGACTCTAGGTCTTGCAAAGTGCACAATCATCATCCCTCATCCAAATTCTCCTAGAACAATGTGCTACACCAATTGGTTTTTTCAAGGGCAACGTGACGGTTCCCCTTCGCATCCTGACACCGCTGCGACACCAGGCCTGTGACAAGAACGAGGACGTCCGCGGCAAACACCGTCGACCTGGGGACCAAAAGCTTCAAAGAATACTCGAACCATCCCGAACCATCCCGAACCATGGCCTGGTTTGGCGTTTGGACAACCGCTTAGGAGGGAAACTTCACTTCACAGAAGTCCACCGGCCGTCATTCGGCTCGAGCGGATTTCTAGCCTTGTGACCCCGAACACACACACACACAGAAGAGGTTCGAGATGAAAAATCGTCAGATGAAGCATCGTCAGATGTCCCAGATGCTGAGAATCCTGTTGGGTCTGGCTTCTGGCCTTACTACTAGGAGCAAGAAGCTACTAGGGGCTCACTCCACTGTCCGGGATCTCCAGCCAAGACACCCGAACAGGGCCTCCAACCACGCTCCGCGATGGCCTTCAAGCACGCTCCAGGCAGACCCTTTTTGAGGTGCTTGATGTCTAAATGTTCCCAATGATTCCGCGACCACCCTGGCAACATTGGAGGATATCAGATATTGAAGTCCTACAATCGGACGGGCAGGTATTCAGCATTCTTGTTTTCACATGGAGGTGGACGCGAAACATGCTGTTTCTTTTCCCAAAGTGGCGTACAGGACTTCCTCACGCATCGCCTTCCGAACACCACCGACGGTTTTTTTGGGCAGGTTCTTTTCGTTCGTCCCTTTTGAAGGGATCGAACAAGGTCGTTTTGCGGACGTGAAACTTCACAGCTGTGCATGGTTGTTCAGTGTCACAGAGTGTCCCAGAGTGTCCTCTCCTTGAAAACACATCGAACTGGTGGCACTCTCCTTGCACGCTCCTTGCACTCTCCTTGCACTCTCGTTGCACTCTCGTGTCTTTCTCAACGCACATTTCTGGACGCCAACGACAGGAGCTCGCAGCCAACTTCCTCTTTGAAAACGCCATGCAAGAAGACTGAGCGTTCAGCGCTCCCCCGAAGACTTGGAGGGTCTGGACCTGGTGGGGACGGTCGAGCCAACGCCGTGCTGTCAGAGTCTCTCAAGTAGCTGGTGGATATGGCAGTTCACTGACTACATGAGACTGACTAAATGACTCTAAACGACTCTGACTATAATCGGTGGAAACATGGCATCGAACCTTCGATCGAAGCATCTCAGATGGACTTCCTGCTTCGAAACGACGGAGCGCCTTTTCGGTTCTTGGGGAGATGTGACACGGGTCCAGTCGCGTAGAGAGAGAATCCGGATTGCCTGCCTGCGGCAGCTTTGGGGAGGGTACTTAGATTGGTGGAAGGATCCCACGTTTATGTTTAAAGATCCCCATCCCCATTTCCACTACGAAATGGGTGGCCTTAAGGCCCATATAAAATGGTTGGCAGGGGTCATTTTGTAAGAAATCAATTTCTAGTACCTGGGCATCTTGTAAGAATGAAACCAGGACTCATTTTGTAGTTGTTCTTTCCAAAAGTCAGAAGCCATTTTGTAAGGAAATCAAGTCAGAGTTAACATTGAAGGGGTTACATCCCCTCATTCTGTAGTTGCATCGCCAATATCCAAAAGGCATTTTGTAGGAAGGTTATGATGTGAACAATGGGTTCTCAAATTTGTGTCCAGGTTGCACCTGCTCTTTTTGTAAGAGGCTTGCAACTGTTTCCCAGAGTCATTTTGTAAGGAACTAGTGCCCTGTGATGTTTGAATAGATTTGGGATATGATTTGTAGCTATTTGGCTGAAAGTCTTCGGATCGAGAGCCCGAATTCCACTTGCAATATTAGCTAACTAATATTTTTGGAAACATTTTAGGCATTTTACATATATAACCCATTACAAGCATCCACGTTACCCTAAGCTTACTAATTTCGCCACCAGCAGTTTGGGCCCATGAAATGGTGGAATTGTTTTGGTGAGA